TTGTGATGCCTTAGAAAGTTCAGTGAGGCCAGAAGACTATCTCCATTTTACAGACCAGACACTGAGGAGTTACGAGGTTAAGGAGAGAGAAATATCATCAAACAATGTTTATAAAGCTCCTACATAGAGAGCCACTGCCTGGAGTGTTAGTGATAACTCCAGGAAGACCTGCATGATGGTACAAAAAGGAAAGAAACAACTGCATTAGGCCAAGTTCTTCCAAGGCTCTGTCCTAGAGTAAGTCCCCAGGCTGGCATCCAGAGATACTCACATGCTCGGAAAGCCATGCAGAATGGATCTCAAATCTGAGTACATTCTACCCAGAATAAAACAAAACATTTTTTGTGTAGTCACTTAAAACAGTGTGTCTTTAAAAATAGGCATCACACTTGTTCTTATATAGCTGCATTATTTAGCTAAATATACATGAAACAACTGACACTAAAATCCAAAAGATACATACAGCAGATTGCAGTGAAAACCTACGGTTGTATTTAGTTACCTACATATTTTAATTTGGTTTTGCAACCAAAGCCAACAGTATTCAGGGTGGGATAATTGTGCTTTCTCGTTCCTAAAAAATGTCAACACCAAAGTATGTTCTGGAAAATGCTTTCTCTTTAAATATTTCTTCTTTAGTTTTTCCTATATATTTCTTCATACGGAGTATGTTCACAGAAATTTTTTAATGTGCTGTATTTATAGTTCTCATTTCTAAGTTTAAAACACATCATAGTGCATCTTAAAATGTCTCTAGCCAATATGGTATAAATCTGGGTTATAAAACAATAAATAAATAGTAGCCAACATTTAGGACCCACTATGTGACAGTCACACACATATTCGCTCATTTAATCATCAGACTGTCACAGAAATTAACTAAGTTCCATTATTATCCAAATCTTAGAGACCAGTAATCCGAATCACAGAGAGGTTAAAGAGCCTGCCCTGCAGCACACAGCCCTAAGGGGCAGAGCTGGAATTCAACACCAGGCTGGCTCCAAAGTCCATGCTCTTAAATTAAAATTTACCAGTAAAGATAAGAGGGAGAGAGGCAGAAGGAAGGAGAGAGGAAGAGAGGGAATGAAAGCTTTAAAAAACTGAGCTCCCCGCCCCCAAAAGGGGGAGCTAAGTTTGCCTTTATAATGCAATGGGAAAATTTAAAGAAATGCTTTTGAGGAATTGAAGTCCTTTTGACAACTGGACCAGGTTTTGGTGGTGTTCTTTTTTTTTTGGAAGGAAGGAGGAGAGAGGGGGTTTGATGCCAAATGAACTTCACTCTGACCTTGGTGGAGAAGACATGACTGCAGAGTCAGTCCATCTGTGCCAGCTCTCAAGGCCTCCCTTCCAGGGATGTACCCATCTGCCCCAGCATCCCGAACCTTTCAAACACTGCTCCTCCCTGCTTAGACTTAAGAAGATGTCAGGGGATAAGACACCCGAAACCTAAAATACAGGTGTAGTGATGCATGGTCACTTGGCAAGGGTGAGTGTGCTCAGCTCTGTGCCAAGGAATGGAGCCTGCCTCTTGCCAGCAGCCCAGACACTCAGCAAACAGACGACATGGCAGAAGCAGGGGCACAGAAGCAGAAGGGATCTGTCCAGCAGAGGAGAAACCGTCCAGACATCCATGGGAATAATACAGAAGATAGGGAGAAGAGACAATCACTGATGGTGGCACAGGATGGTTGTAACTCAGCAGTGCTGTGGACCATGTTATCTGGGAACAGAAATATCACGTAATGAGACACAACTCAGTGGAGACTCAGAGGTGTAGCCCACAAAAATAAGCAGAGATGCATCATTATTTTCTGGACTTATGCAGAGCTGGACATGAAGGCCATCAGCAACCTCAGCATCGATGCCTGAGAGTTTTGTGGTTTGAAGGAGCTGAGGGTTTGTTCTATTTTCTTTTCTTTCTTTTATTTTTCTTCTTTGTTATATTGGGCTCCTTTGGGTAACTCCTCTGGTGTGTAGAGTAGAAACAGAGCCCTGGCTGGTTTGGCTCAGTGGATAGAGCATCAACCTGTGGACTGAAGGGTCCTGGATTCGATTCCAGTCAAGGGTACATGCCTGGGTTGTGGGCTCCATCCTCAGTGGGGGGCGTGCAGGAGGCAGCTGATCAATAATTCTCTCTCATCATTGATGTTTCTATCTCTCTCTCTCTCTCTCTCTTCCTTCTTCTCTGAAATCAATATAGATAGATGATAGATAGATAGATAGATAGATAGATAGATAGATAGATAGATAGATAGATAAAAAAAGGAAAGAAAAGAAACAGACTCATTGGGCTGTATGGCCCTATTTGGTACCTTTTACACCTACCTTAGTGCATCTGTTTTCAAATAAAGCTTGTAAAATAAAGCTTCCTAATAAATTATGACCTTGAACTTCTAGATAGAGTGATGTTGTTTTTCATTGTGATAAGTGGGTCAAAATGTTGAATATAGTACTAATAATTAATCTAGTCAGCATTTAGAGAAGGTTTACTATGTGGCTTTCAGCCATGACCTAAGTGCATATACATTAATCTTCACAACAACCTGAGGGAAGTGCTGCTGTCCCCACTTTACAGAATGACTTGAAGAGGTTGCAAGACCAGGAAGAGGCAGAGCCAGGACTTCACCCCAGGTTTGTATGGCTCCAAAGTCAATGCTCATAAAAGATGTGGCCTTAAGAAGTGTCCTCAAGAATATTTAAACATGAACACTTCGACCAGCAGTCCTGAGGCCTGACCTCAGCACATCCACGACGAGACTGACACACCGGACAGCGTGGAACAATCAGGAGTAGAGGACAGTGTGACAACAGAAATAGTACAGGAGCATTGGATGAATTTGAGAAGAGTTAGGTTTGGGGCCTGACTCTGCATCTACTTCTCAGTTCCACTGGGCATGTTTGAAGCCCTCTTGGTCTCAGCTCCTGAATCTCTACAAAATAGTCATTCGGAGTCCTGCCCTATCAGCCCCCCTATTGGATAACTAATGAAAATATGAACACTCCAGAAATGCACTTTTTAAAAACCTCTCTCTATGAGATACTCTTACATTGTAACTTTGGTTTACACAGCGTTGGCCACTGACATGGAGGTCGGTGTCTTCCCTTTATCGCGCCCTACTGTCACACAGCAGCAACATACAGTAGGTGCTGCCATAGAGACATTCTCTAAATGCTAACAATTGTGCAAGATGAGCCTGAGCAAAATGACCGTGAATGCATGAAAGCCCAGGTCTGGGGCAGAGACAGAAAAGGAATTGGTGATTCCAGCAGTGCTCTGCGTCACTTACAAAGGGCAGAAAGAGATGGAAATGCCCCTATTTTCTTCATGCCTGTTGTTGAGATTGGCATGTGGTGCATGAAGGAAAACCAAATCCTACCGGTCTCTGGCTGCGTCACTATACAGCATGTGAATATTGCATATATCTTGGAGGTATTCAAAAATGCCTTCAACCTATCAAAATTCCACTTTTGCCTCCAGTTTCAAAATGATGCTTTCTTCCCAGAAAGCTACAAAGTCAGAACTCTTACTAGGTCTTGTGGCTCCATATCTTTTTTTTAAGATGAAAAGGGAGAAGTGCCTAACATCTAAAACTAATTTTTAAGTGTTTTATTTTTGTGGCTCCATATCCTTTGAAATTACATTTAAAATTGGTTTCAAAATCTGCTTTTAGTTCCAGATTCATACCAATGTAATTTGAATTTTCAAGGATGCAATGCTTTGAATTAGATACTCCTGAGAATTTGATAAAGCCATAGCTCTTCTCCCCCAGTAAAGGCCACACACACACACACACACACACACACACACACACACTCTCATACACACACACACACACTCTCACACACACATACACACATACACACACAGCCCTGATTGTACAGGAGGTTGCAGATCCTCTGAAGCCCATCCATGGGCCCTTCGAAGTTTATAGACCCCACGATAAGAACGCACAGAGCTCAATATCATGCTTGGTCAAGGGTGAAGTGGGGACTGAACTCCATCCTCTGTACCATTCACTAAGCCTGCAGTTCTCAACCTGTGGGTCGCGACCCCTTTAGGGGTTGAACGACCCTTTCACAGGGGTCGCCTAAGACCAGCGGAAAACACATATATAATTACATATTGTTTTTGTGATTAATCACTATGCTTTAATTATGTTCAATTTGTAACAATGAAATTGGGGGTCACCACAACATGAGGAACTATATTAAAGGGTTTCAACATTAGGAGGGTTGAGAACCACTGCACCAAGCCATGCTGGATCCACCCAGAGGGAGCATTGTTTTCTAATTTGTGCAAAGGTACCTCATAGTCAGAGTGGTACTTGGACCAGATAACACCAGATGTCAAGCTAAGTCCACTCTGTATGTCTCCCAACCTCATGTTCAGGGACAGTCACAGTGGGACCTTGAAATCAGCCTGGTGAGCGTATTGACACCAAGGAAATTAGCAAACTCTACAAGAATGGTAGTCCTCAAAAGGAGAGCCAGTTGTTGAACATTGCCATTGCAATCATCACACATGGGCTCGTGAAGACCCTGAGGATCTCTGTCCTGTATTGTGATATATTTGAAATAAAAAATCAGAAGGCAATTTTAAGACCTACATCCCAATTTCATTTCAGCCTGTCCTAACTGCTGATAGGCCAAGGGCACGTGGGCCCAACTTGTTTTGAGCACAGAATTAACAACTACAGATGCTAGAGAAGGTATTTGGAGAGGGAGGGCTGCTAGAAAAATTGGTTCCCATTGGATCCCAGATGGGTCTAAAGATAAGATCCAAAGCTAAAACCCTATGTTTTAAAACATCTGCATCCCTGATAGAGGTAACTGCCATGAGAACCATTAAGAAAATGAATAAATGATAGCTGCCTATAATTTGTAAGATAGGAATTAGAAGGAAGAACTTTGGGAGAAAGGAAATGTAAAGTCCCCACACTCCTTGAGATGCTGAGGGAGAAGGCCGTGCCTGTAGCAGACATGACTCCTTGTGGACTGACCTCAGGTTCCTTCTGCAGGCTTTTTGAAGAGCTGCTCTTTACAACTGAACTCTGTCTTGAGCTGAGACATCCTTCCTCTGAGGAAGGGAAAAAAAAAGAAAGTCACATCAAACCACTGATTCCAGTTTTGAATTACAGAGGGCTATTGATTTTTCATTAAGGTCCCTGTGCTGCTCTCAAGAGGAGGGAGAGAGAGGAGAACATAATTCATTGATCAGAGCGCAGGGCCATGTTCCTTTATTGGCTTCCTGCCATGTCCCATTATTCCCGATTCTAAATGTATATTGAAGTCAGTTTATTTTCATCATTGCCTCCTGTCACCAGAAATGTCTCCCAGTAACTATTAGTTTAATCATCCCTTTCTCACAATGGTAATGAGTGATAATAGCCAACATGATCCTAGACTCGTGGATATTATTCTTTGGATCACAGCGTTGCTCCTCCCAAGGCTCTAGTTAAGAATCTGTCAACACTTGAACAGTCTAAAAGACAGGAATAGTTTGAGGATTTAAAATACATATATTTAAATTTTAAAAAAACTATCATTTTTATTTTAGTTTTACTTATTTAAAAACAACAACACACTTTACTAGAAGATCTATGACTTTTGATCTATGAACCTTAGAGAGTTCGGGAATTGTATATCTATACCAAACCAATGGAATCCAACCTTGTGAACCACCAAGCACATGCAGAATAAACCAGGCATTCCACTTTGCCCCCCATTTTTGTTTGCAGAAACAATCTTTAATCTGTACTGTCTTAACTCACATTTGAAACTCTGTTTTCTACAGTAGCAAAGTGAGGTTCAGAAAAACTGAACTACTCAGGATCACAAGATAAAGTGGCACAGTGGAGACGAGAACCACGTTCCCTGGCTTCCAGATCGCTATTTGTTCTACTATACCCGTGGTCGGCAAACTGTGGCTCGCGAGCCACATGCGGCTCTTTGGCCCCTTGAGTGTGGCTCTTCTTAAGCCTTAGGAGTACCCTAATTAAGTTAATAACAATGTACCTACCTATATTGGTTAAGTTTAAAAAATCTGGCTCTCAAAAGAAATTTCAACTGTTGTACTGTGGATATTTGGCTCTGTTGACTAATGAGTTTGCCGACCACTGCGACTACACTATGACCTGTCCTCTCAACTCGTGTGAAGTTTATAACCCATAAAAATCAGAAGCTGATGCTGACATTAAAATCAAATCCTAGAAATGTGGCTAATATTTTTCTTTTCTCGCATCTCCAGATAGAACCATGTTTCCTCAATTCTGCCTCAGACCTAGGTTAAATAATCAGCTGCTAAGTGATGTAATGCATCTACTTGCCTCCCAAGGTTTCCCAATCTCAACCCCTCCAGGTCATCTGCCAAGGTGTTCATGGACATTAACATCTCTGAATGAATTTTCCCAGCAGCATGTGAGAGAGGGGAGGAGTTCTCCCATTTCACAGGAGCTTTAGCCAAGGCTACCTGGGAAATAATGGACAGAGCCAGGACTCAGACTCACGTCTTCTCACTATGGAGCTTTCTTTCCACTGCACCACAGCTCCCTCTGGTGTCAACACTGGCAGTGGGAACTACCAAAAACAACTACGAAAAGACTGTTTAAAGATGTACACCAGTATACTGAGCTGAAAAATATTATAGGAAACATGTCCTATTCAGAGTAGCAATGAAGAATATAAAATGCCTATGAATAAATATGACAAAAAATGTGTGGAACTTATATGATTAAAACTAGAGAACTTCACAGGAAATGTAAAATAAGATCTAACGAAATGAAGACACAAAATGCTTTGTCTGTTCTTCCCAGTGGGATATTTTAGGGGAAAGCATGATAAAAATTATTCTTAAAACCCTCTGGATGAACAGAGAACACAGAAAACACAAACGGTACTTTGAATAATAAAGACAGTGTAGCGGGGCACTCACTCCATCAAACATCAAAACGTAATTTAAAACATTAGTATTTAATACAAATTGAGAACCTGTGCAAAAATCAATAGGCAGGTAAATGGAACTACTAGTAATCAGATGGCCACGAAAGACTGTAGCACATATAATAAAGAAACTATTAAATAATCGGAGAGAAAATCATTACATACTTGGAAAAAGTAAATTGGATATTCATTTTTCGAAGTACACCAAAATGTATTTCACATGAATTAAAGAGCTAAATGATTTTTAAATGCTATTACACAGAGATAAATACTTAACTTTTGAAAGTATTTTATTGGTATAAAACCAGTGAAAAATCATGATGGAAAATAGATTTTACTACATTGAAATGTAAAGTGTAAAATGTCCATTTAAACATCAAAAACTACAAAAATTAGAGATGCAAGTCACACACACGCAAAAAAAAAAAAGTTCAACCTCACCAGCATTTAAAAAACACCAATTAAAATAACATCATGATAACATTTTTATCTATTCAAATAGTAAAACTGTTTTTAGATAATAACAATCAGGGTTCTAGTGGGACAGATACTATCATACTACTGATGGAAAAATAAATTGATAAACTTTCTGAAGAGAAATATACCATTATGTTTCTAGAGCCTTTAAAGTATTTCGAAAACTTGTGGCCCAGAAATTATATTTGTAGAAATATAGCCCAAGGAAATGACCAGATATTCTTTTAAATAAGAATTTATGGGGAGATATCATTTATAAGACCCAACAAATGGGAAATAATCTAAACAAAAATAAAGAACAATTTTAATTGGGTAGAAGCATATAATGAAGTAGCACACAGACATAATAATAAAGTAAATTTTGAATAATATTTAATAATATGGATAAATGCTCATTCATGAAAAGAGAAAAACCACTGCAGTTCCAAATCTGTAAAAACTGAAGTAGCAATGGGAATGAGGTAAAAAGATAGAATGGGAATACAATTTCAGATTTAGAGTAAGATCAGACCCAATCACTAAAAGGGTGTGGAAATAGGGAAGGGCGGGGATTATTCCCAGGACTTTGGCTCAGGTATTGGAGGTGAGTGGAAGAAACCATTGCCAAACGAAATAATACACATGACTAGGTCATTTCATTGACCTGGTTCTCTCAAATAGAAGCATAAGCATTCTGCTTTATACCCAATTATTTTAATACCATTGGGTTTTAGCTGCCACTAACACAACAGGGGTGTTTTAGGCATTGGGAAAATTTCACTATATCTTGCCTCTTTCTGACATCACAGACCTTACACAGTCTACTAGCATTGAAATTATGTTCAAAAGTGTCAAACTGCAGCTCTGTGGAGGTCAGATGGCTGGAAGATACCAATGTTATTGCCTGCTGTGTTGACAGTTTAAGTGGGTGATTCTAAAAAGTTAAAAAATAGTGAAGAGTGTCCAAAAGATGATCTTGGAAAAACATCAATAAACTACTAACCCTCTACAATATGCAGAGCACTCAACCAGATGGAAAGAGGAGTGCGACGATGTGAGGAACAGCGCTTACTAGTATATTTCAACAGCCTTTGCCGCTAAAGATCTTGAGAATATGAGGAATAGCTTGAAAAACAGATATACTTTTTCATAATCTCCATAATTATTTCATTAAGCGAAGTAGGTATTTATATTAATAAGAACTTAAAGTAAGACTTACCAGGGTTAGTACTCAGACTGGATAATCAGTGTGCATGTAATTAAAATTGGCTGTAGAGAGTATGTGACAGTTTGTATGTAACATCATGCTCAAAAAATCCCTCCAAACTTCTCTGTTACAAATGTATTCCAACTAAGCACAATTGCATAAATTTTACACTTATGACTCAGTGATAATATATGCCCCCCCACACACACACACACACAAACTACTTTGGTAGGTCAAATAATGGTTTCTCTCTGTATATTATATGATGTTTGGTTGCATGAAGGTTAAAAAATATTCCATGAAAAAGTAGGACTTAGATTGTCCTATAGTGTCCCTTTCTTAAAGCCTCCCTAAAGAAGGAAGAATAATAACTCAAATTCTGAGGCAATACGGCTAACTGAAATGAGAGAATGGGAGCCAGCCAACCTAACTTTCAATCCCCAATCTGTGTTTGTGGCAAGTTATTTAACTTCTTTGAGACTCAGTTCCATATCTAAAATTTGGAGGGGGATATCTATAACTTGTCAGAGTTGCTGTAAGGACTGGAGATAATGTAAAGCATCCTCATTAAAGTACCAGTTTACTGTTTTATGTATTTCTGTGTATTTTCTCAGATAATCCTCAAAACATCCCTTCTATTCTTTTTCCCACTTTAAAAATTACAAAACTAAAGCACAAAGAGGTTAAACAACTTGGCCACGGGCACATACCTAGCAGAGGATCTGGGATTCAACCTGAGTAGTCTAGAGTCTAGGTGCTAAATCACTATACCAACCTACTTCAAAAGGCGTCCTTGCCCAGTTGGTGTGGCTCAGTGGTTGAGTGTTGACCTGCAAACCAGAAGGTCCCAGTTAAATTCCCTGTCAGGGCATATGCTCGGGTTGCAGGATCAACTCCCAGTTGGGAGCGTGCAGGAGGCAGTCGATAAATGATTCTCTCTCATCACTGATGTTTCTCTTTCTCTCTCTCCCTCTCGCTTCCTTTCTAAAATCAATAAAAATACATATTTTTAAAAGGACACCCTTTAAGTGAAAGCTGTTGGAAATAAAAATAGTTGTTATTGTTGTTTGTTGTTTTTCTTCTGACTTGCCCCAACAGTGCTGCTTATCAAAGGGCTCCATACCGGTTCATATTCTCAGAAGCAATGCTGTTTTATATTTATTTTCAACTCACATAGCACTAGAATATCATAAATACATGTGAATTGGTTAAAAATAACTCCTTAAATGGTTAAAAATCTTACAAATATAAATCCAGAAGCTACTGCACCTTACAGTTCAAGGTAAAAAAAGAATGGCTGATGTAAATTGTGCCAGTACACCATCAACATAAACCATCAGGGCACTATATATTACCAGGCAACCTCCACACTCTACATATATCTTGATACAAGCAATACTTTTGACACCAATCACTTCCCGAGATAAAATACAGTCTGTAAGGGAGTAATTTCAACAGTACATAAAATGGCACCA